CCAGAGCGTTGCGTATGCCGTTCTATCCACCTTGGGACCCGTTATAGTTTCCGCAGTTGTTTACTGTCGTATTCGGTCGTCCTCGTGTGGCCGAACGGTCTATATGACACTAAATAGTAACGCAAACGACTGTTTTCGTCCTCGTGGGGCCGGGGCCTAGATCATGAAAATCCCCAAAATCTCGGGGGGTATCCCCCGAACCCCCCTAACATGTTTGGACCTCGGTATTTAGGAAATCCTGGATACGGCCCTGGATGCACAATAAGAACGGACCCATATCACCTTACTGCCAGCCCACGGAGCTGTAATAATGGATATATTGCACACGTTTGCTGTAATTCATCATTTGTAAAATATTATACTACATGGGCTTTATGATGTAAATCTTGTATTAAATAAAGTTAATATACCGACGTAGATTAACGTCCCTGTAGCTTCTTATTGCACTTGCAATATACCATTAAAGGAGTTGAACGTTGCTGTTTGCTATTACTATAATACCACCAGGGATAAGCCAGAGTTTACAACCTTTGCATGTGGGCACAACACGTTTTGACCCAGATTAATTAGCTATACCATATGATATCGCCCGAGGAAGTCGTCATACTTATACATATATAAATAAAGATATATGTGTCAAAGCTCTAATTAACAGTTGTATTAATTATACTTGTATATGTGTATATATATATATATATATATTAGGGCCGGGACTTTAACGCGTTAATTAAGATTAATTAATTACACAAAAATTAACGCGTTAAAAAAATTAACGCATTTTAATCGCACTTATTTTTGCACCGCGGAACGTTTCTCACTGGATGAGTTTCAGGGGTACCGATTATACTGGAGCACCAACTAANGTAACACTTAAATATTTGTAGAATGTATCAATTATTATATATTCAAATGATCAGGATTTAGTATTCCTCTCTTTCTCTCTGATCAACTGATTTCATGACAAATACTAAATCCTGATCATTTGAATATATAATAATTGATACATTCTACAAATATTTAAGTGTTACTGCACGGAAATGTACTGTCAAAACACACACAACAAGGCATTGAGCATGAGCTTTATAGCCAGCAAAGAAGTAAGCAAGTCAAGTTATAATGGCAGCTGCTTGAACATGAATATCAGAAAGTAGCCAAGCTGCCTTTAGAGTAACATTGAATAAGCAGGTGCTAATATACTAATCCAATTGTGAATTTGGTGCTTAAAGTGCACCTATCATGCTATTTTTAGGCAATAGCATAGGTCTCAGATGTATACAAATATATAAAAAATGTAAAGATGGAAAATGGCTACAAAGAGACTGAGAAGAAAACACTATGTGCAACTAATAACAAGACAGAAAAGAAGAATGAGTGCTAAGGATGTATTCATATTCATATAGAAAGGCCCTGCTTCATCTTATGGGGTCATCATGAGTAGCAGCTGCTGTCAGTGTCATTCAAAGACACTGAAAATGACCACAAGGAATCTTTAAAAAAATGAGTACAGATGCAAAACAGCTGCAAGGGGTGAAACATGGCTGCAAAGAGACGCCTAGTAACAACTGTAAAAGAGGAAAAACCTCCACAAAGAGACACAAAACACTCACAACAAAGAGACACGTAGCAACGACAATGAAAGACACAAAATAGATACAAAGAGATGCTAAATGACTGCAACAAATGTCAACCACAGACAAATAAACAACGACAGAGTGACCAAAGGAAAAACAACACCACAACAAAAAGACGATGTCTCTTCCAGCAGACGGAACAATGCTCGTCATGCATGTTATGACGTTTTTGTCATTCAAATATATTTGATTGCGCATGGATTCTGAAATGTTTTTGGGTGTTGCCACGAAGGAAGAGTCTTGGAAAGTTATGATACTCAGTCAAATATGCAACCTCATTTAATAACAACTGTCTTAATGCGTTACAAAAACCCAACCCTCAGAATATTAACACAAACACGGAGAGTTTGACTTTCTCCCCCCGGCCCGTCGGGGAGCGACCGCACGGCCCAGTGGTGGTGTCAGTCTGTGGGCAGTCAGAGTCCCGGGACAGTCCAATAAGCCTCCAATAAAAGCCTCCGCTCAAAAGCAGGCGACCGCAGCACTGCTGTAGGCCTCCGACCTCAACTCCACGGCTGCAACCCACAGTCATAAAGTCAAGCATCTCGTATAATGTGACAGACTCAATGTCAACAAAACAAAGAAGAGTTTTTTTCAAAAGTCTGCCTTTGTTGCGGTGAGAAAAACTGCAGTCAATGAATGAGATTTGCAAGGTTATCCAAAATGTTCTTAGGCTGATTCCGACATGGTTTACTTTTAAAGGGAAAAGTCACTTGTTTCACTTGCGTTGTTTTCTCCTTTTTTAAGGATTGTTATTTAGGTATTTAATTTATTTAACTGTATCTCCCTCTAACCATATCATAATAAAAAATCAAAGAAAACAAGAAAGAAGTCAATAAAATCTCCCAGTCCAGAACATCCCGTCTCTTGCAGAAACACTGCAGTGAAATGAAATGAACTGTACCAAGACACGGATTAGCTGTCTTTTCGCAGTGATAAAGATCCGCTGCTGACGTGCCAGTTGCTTTTTGTCATAAAGTTGCCACTGTGAAATCTGATACAGGCAATTCAAGCAGGTGATGAGGAACTGAGCATCCCAGTGCGTTCACTCTCCATTAGCATCATGAGAAAGTCTCAGCAGTGGAGCTTTTTGTAAAAACCCTCCTGGCTCGGGAGCCCGTGTGCCTGGTGTGACTTAAAGAGCATCTTGCAGGTTGTTTTTTTTTCTACATTTATGCTTAAACTTGCTTGAAAATTACAATTAAAAAAGTGAATGCAGGATTTGATATGTTTTATGAGACATAAGGGCAGGAATTCAGAGGGAAAGGAGCAATTTTGAGCTCTGGCTTAAGTCATACGGTCAAACGCTGCGTCATATTTACACACAAAGGGAAACACATCGCCGCTCGTCGGGGTAGTAGCCGTTAGTAGGTTGCGTGAGCGCGTTGTGTGTTTGTAGCCTGGTAATTTTTTTTTATTTTTTCCGGCATAATGTTTTACATTGTATTTCGACCATTTGGTGCGAATTCATGCTGCCCAGTATTGTGTTTGTGCCAGGTTGCCACACAAGTACCACTGCTCAGGACAAGCGTTTTATTGCGCCCGACAGCGGAGAACGCGCGCTAGTTACATCCGGTCTCTCTCGGTCCGCCGTCCCGGCGGGGCGGGGGTACAGCCCACCGTACATGAGGTGTGGCGGTGAGTTGCATTTAGGTAAACGGTGGGATTTGCGCCGCGGGGCGTCTCCGATGAGTTTGCGCGCATTCGTTTTTGTGGTGAGTCAGTCATTCAAACATGGATCCCAATGCTAGTTTCGACACAGAAGAAGTTGAACATGAATATTCGAATGCATATGACGGACCACAACCTTATAATTATGAGCCTGCTAGGCGTCCAAGAGACCAGGAGCGGCCAAGGATTAGAAGAAATAACGGCCATCGGAGAGAAATTAAGCTGTGGTGTGAGGAGAACCAGTGGAGAACTGGGCAGCTATCTTGGTGAGTGACCGGCGTTAGCTACAGAATGTTAGCTAACGTCACATCACAACATTGTGAAGTTAGCTATCATATATCAGGCTATAACTAACGTAGCATTGATAATATAGTAACGTTACTGGCAGGACTGTTGATACTGATCCATAACAGAAACGAATGCGCAACTATCAGCCGTATCTCTCGTTACCTAATGCAACTCCACACTATGTTACGGTGCTGTACCGGAGGGGAGAGAGAGAGCAGGGAAGGGGGGGGGGAGAGAGAGATGTAATACGGTTTCCTGATAAACGTTTGTCCTGACAGGCTGGTATTTGTGCAACCTGCACAAACACAATACTGCACCATGATTACAAATGGTGAAATACAATGTAAAACTACCGAAAAATACCAGCTCACTAAAACACAACCGCTCAACGCAACTACTAACTATACCGAGAGCGGAGATGTTTCCCCTTTGTGGTGTAATATGACGCGTTTGACGTTAATGACCTTAAAGCAGAGCTCAAAATTGCTCCTTTCCCTCTGAATTCCTGCCCTTATGTCTCATAAAACATATCAAATCCTGCATTCACTTTTTTAATTGTAATTTTCAAGCAAGTTTAAGCATAAATGTAGAAAAAACACACCTGCCAAGAGCTCTTCTTTTCTGATTAATTCACCTATTCATCCATTTAATTTCACTTCTTTCATTATTATTACCATTCTTGTTCTGTTTCTTCATAGCTTATTTCTCTTTATTTATATTTATTTATTAATATTATTATATTTATTGTTGGCATTTGCCTGTATTCAGAGTTTTCACCGAGTTGGCAACTTATGACAAAAAGCGAACTGGCACGTCAGCAGCGGATCTTTATCACTGCGAAAGACAGGCTAATCTGTGTCTTTGTACTTTCATTTCATTTCGACTCGAGTGTTTCTTTCAAGAAAGACGATGTTCTGGAGCTGGGAAATTTTATTGATCTTTTCTGTTTTCTTTGATTTTATTATGATATGTTAGAGGGAGTAACAGTTAAATAAATTAAAATACCTAAATAACAATCTTAAAGGAGAAAACACGCATGTGAAACAGTGCTTTTTCCCTTTAAAGTAAACCAGTCGGATCAGGCCTAAGAACATTTTTGGGATAACCTTTGAAAAATCCATTCATGACTGCAGTTTTTCTCACCTCTAACAAAGGCGACTTTGAAAAAAAA